GGAAGGTATTAAAATCGACCCCGGTAAGGTGGAACACCTGTTAGATTGGCAAACACCAACTACAGGAAGAGATGTGAAGAGCATGTGTGGGTTTGTAAACATCTTTTCAGATGGAGTATCACACTTGGCTGATTATCTTAAAGCCTTTGGACACTTAAGATGTCATAAAGGCAAACTAGGAGACTTGTGGACTAAAGAGTGTGATGACGCATTTAAAGCACTCAAGCACACAGTCCAACAAGCCCCTGTTTTACAAGGACTAGTCAATAACGTGCCTTTTGAAATAGCATCAGACGCATCAGACTAGGCACTCGGAGGTGTACTATACCAGGTTATAGATAATAAACCTAGGTATATACGTTGTACAAGGACCAGTCAATGGCGTGCCTTTTGAAATAGCAACAGGCAAGAGCATGTGTGGTTTTGTAAATTTCTTTTCAGATGGAGTAACACACTTGGCTGATTATCTTAAAGCCTTTGGACACTTAAGATGTCATAAAGGCAAACTAGGATACTTGTGGACTAAAGAGTGTGATGACGCATTCAAAGTACTCAAGCACACAGTCCAACAAGCCCCGGTTTTATAAGGACCAGTCAATGACGTGCCTTTTGAAATAGCAACAGACGCATCAGACTTAGCACTCGGGGGTGTACTATACCAGGTTATAGATAATAAACCTAGGTATATACAATTCTTTAGCCGAGCAATGAATGCATCACAGTTGAATTATCCAACTGTGAAGCAAGAGCTACTAACCATAGTAGCAGCTTTAACACACTTCCGCGATTACTTATACGGAACAGCTTTTACGCTGATGTGTGATCAGAAGTCCCTTTAATATATGAAGGAAATGAAGCCAGACTCTTAATTACTGAGCCGACGGCATGATACACTATCAAAGTTTCATTTTGATATCGAACATCTACCAGGGATACATTACCATTTACCGGATATGTTATCACGCTTCGTACTGGACTTTAAATCCGTACGTGAGTTACTAGCCACTGATTGGAAATGTAACCCCAGGTGGTTTGAACTGGCTCAAAATATATTTGGGCCACATATAGTTGACATGCTTGCTGCACATCATAATGCACAACTTAAAAATTCCAGGACTTTAAATCATCCTCTAGGAGATGCCTTTCAACTAGACCTCTCCGAACATAATGCGTGGGCTGATCCACCATGGCAGTTAATTGCCCAATTGTTAAATTAAGTTCATATACATAAAGCTACCATCACGTTGTGTTGCCCATTACGGAGTAAAGATCCATGGCTCAATACATTAATAAGCATGATACAATGCGAGCCAATATATTTAGATAGGAAAGTGGATACTTTCCTATATTAGGGTACCCAAGCCGTCCAGAAGACGCCCTGGAGACATACTATAATATGTCGTATAGGTCCTATTGGAACAACCAACTGGACCCCTTCTGTGACCATCCTTAACAAGGTCAAAGAATCAGAGATTCCACTCTCTACTAAATTGAACGTTAAGCAGTTCAAAGGCAACACAGCACTTGAAGTCTGTGCACAAGAAATACAATCTACTAATGATACTACAGTTAAGAAGCAACAATCTCTAGTTAGGACTCTGTTTAATAGCATAAAGACCAAGCCCGAAGTTCAATCCCTATATTTAAAGGGATTGATGAAAGATAATCCCGAAGCCTATACACATATAATGCGACTATTAAATAAGTCAGATGTATCAAATGCACACGAGCGCACTCGTGGCACTCATGCGAAAGAAGGACAGGAGTCTGGAAACACTACAGACTTAGAGACCACGCAAGTGGATTCTCAACGCCCTGCCTTTATTCTGGAGGAGCAGAATGATGAAAACATTATTGCTTGGCTGACGCAAAACCATAAGCTGAAGCACCAGAACGTAGTAGACGCGCTTAAAGATGCTAAGCAAAATGGGATTGCGCACCCTAAGCTGGCAACTTCAGTTGACAAAGTATATCAGTCATGTACAGACTGTGATCTCAACCAGATTAAGCGCTATGGGTTCGCACCGCTTAAGAGTGTGACTGAAGATGTTTCATGGCGCAGGGTCATCATTGAATTGGTTGACCTGCCTACGTCCGAGCACACAGGCGACCGTTGATCGATATGAATTTACAGACATTATATGGAGAACGGATAAGGGAGGTTATACATATTATCGTACACGCTTTATAGACGGTACAATCGCTGAGTTGACTTCAGATGCTCTCGATAATTAAGACTATTTAAAAGCCTTTAATCGAAAATTGCGTAAACGCCTGCATAAGTCACAAGCTGAAAAAGATAGCATGTTTCCATCGTCTGAAGGCACGGAAGTTAAAACTTACCCACCTACAGCATTTATCCCGAGCTTTAATGCTCACCCTTCATATATAATCTCTGTAGCCGACACTAAAAGTGGAACCTATAGGGTTAATAACCCCGACGGTTCTAGTGCTTTAAATATAGGCACTAGTCGGATTCCGACTACCGAGATTATACTCGCAAGACGACAGGACTAATGCACCTCTTGATCGTTCTGAATTTAAAGAAATATGGAGAACGGATAAGGGAAGTTATACATGCTATCGTACACGCTTTATAGACGGTACAATCGCTGAGTTGACTTCAAATGCTCTCGATAATCAAGGCTATTTGAAAGCCTTTAATCGAAAATGGCGTAAACGCCTGCATAAGTCACAAGCTGAAAAAATAGCATGTTTCCATCGTCTGAAGGCACGTAAGTTAAAATTTACGCACCTACAGCATTTATCCGAGCTTTAATGCTCACCCTTCATAAGTGATTAAGCCACTGAAGCGTAAGAAACGTCCAGTCGACTACCACGAACCTACTGGACCTTAGCCCAAAACTCACAGAGTAACCGAGAACGCTTAACTTCTCCGCCTGAGAAACATTAACTAGCTGTTATGCTACTTAAAGTTTCGACCCGTTTTTGCTTCTCGCTTTGTAAATCCAAAATCGGCTTGAGTGAGCAACTAGTCTCTCTTGGATTTCAAAGCTGGGTGGGGGCTGTGTAACAGCCGGGCCTCCACATTAGACTCTATGTTATAAACATACTATTAAGCAGTACGCAAACTATAAACATACTCTTAATAATACGAGGAGCTTAAGTTTCCTAAAATGGGGTTTAACAGTTTTTATTAATTAAATACCTTGTCCATGTTACATATCAGATAATTGGATAAGGCCATTAAAAGGCCGGATTAAAATGCCAAAGAAATGATTGGACTAGTTCTATTAATAGAACTATGTTAACTTCCAAATCTATTTATATCTGAATACTTCGGTGGCGAGATGGCTCAACCGAATACAGGTTACTAGGGACAATTGGCGTCACATAGTTTAACCTCCGTTCAGCCAACCAGATGTGCCAGTCTGTTGAAGTCTAAGTCGGTAATTCTTGATAAGTGGCAAGTTATTGGTAAATGCAATAACTATGGACATCAAGAGTATTTTTTTTTCTACTTTTTTTCTTCTAAAGATAGGATTTTATGAGTCTCTCGGATTCGCCCCAAAGAAACATACCATAGTTTTCAATAGAGCGACTACGAAACACTAAATACAATCCCTTCGGCGAAAACAGTACTGAGAGGATTATATATAGGCAATGTCTCAGCCTCACAATCTCCCAGAGTATTGTTGTTTTCTCGAGGCATACCTAACATTATCAAAAGACTCTTTCGTTCATTTATTTCGAATTTAACTATACTTAGACTTAACCTAAGCGTTTAATTACTCAAAGGCGTTAATATCGCCTTGATTGACCGAATCTTACACATATATTTGTATGTATGTGTTTGTGATATGATTGTACAAGATTGAAAGTATATCGATCTTTTCGATTGAAGTACAATTACGCTTATCTTTCCGCCACTTGTTAAGATCGGCTTTCCATGTCGACCCTATCTGAGTTGCGAATTTTCAATGGACCAATTCAGCGAGCAATAGTGTGTATATTTTGGTTGTCTCATTCCTCAATTGTTCAACATTGTACCCATGGAATACCGGGTCTTCAAGCAAAGAAAGGCAACCACAGTTACCCATCATCCAATGTTACCTTCTTACAGAAGCGTTGGCTCTCTCAAATATACGAACTCCATTTCCTCGCAATGGAGAATGAACCGCAACTCTCTCAACCCCAAGTACATCCCTCAACCCCAAGCACACCAAGCAGTTTCCATCGACCTTAGGGAAAGAGCCGCGGATATACGTCAGGAGCTCAAGTAGCGAGGTTACATGGTGCCGGGGAGGAAGTCCTTTTGGTCTTTGTTTAGAAATGAATGGGGTATCGGCATCAGACTTCATCAATAACTTTCTCTAGTAGCCATCAGTCGCTCAAACCGAGTGGAGTACAAAACAAGCGTTGGACATCTGCACCGCTATCTGGTGCCAGGACAATGTGCGCTATACTATTGGCTTGCCGGACGCCCCAGTTCAGACGCCGACGTGTTATAGAGACCAAAAGAAGCCGGTGGTTAAAGAACTCGACTATATTCTCAACTGGGCAAATTATCTAGCCCACGGACACAGACAGATTCATCTCGGGGGTCTATCTATCGAACATCGCGAAGAGGCCTATAACGGTCTCATTTTAGGTGTCATCAGGGATCTCGGTCAGGTCGTCGAATTGAAAACAGTTACGCATTCAGAAGGGATCAGACTTCACTGCTCTGGTAGAGCAGCAAATCTGTCCACAACACCGTAATTCCTCCTCTATCGCTAAGTATATCAAAAGTACTAAGAAGCGCCAGCACAAAATTGCGCTAACTAAAGGAGGCGATAACCACGACGATTAAATCGCATACGCCAACTCCGCTCTATCAACGAGTCAGAAGTGCAATATGCACATGGAGGCAGCACGGTGCGAACAAGGAGGTCCTAAAAGCAATCACATATGGCGTACAGCCGGTTTGGGGGCCGAAGGGACCTCTACCACCATCGCAGACGGGAAGGTGGATAAATATTTCGGAAGTGACAGAACAGATGGCAGTAACAGAGTTAACACGGCTGGAAATACAAGGAATCATACGGAAATGTCAGGAGTCCGAAGCATATCCGGTTCATCAAGCATTAATGATTCTCAAATCAGACGGACTTCGGGCACGTCGGATACTGAATCCAGAGAGTTTCAACTCTCACGTCGAAAAGAAGAATTTCCGCGCAGAGGGTCTAGAAAGACTGGCACAAATTGCCAGGTCGGGGAATACAGCTATGTCCGCTGATATAAAGGACGGATTCTATGCGTTAGCTGTGGAAAACCCGCGCCTTTGGCAGTTCAGGGATCACACCGGCCAGCTGTGGTTCTCTCCGGCGTGGTTTAACCTCCTCATGAACATAATGAGGAAGGTCCTACGGACCAAGGGGATTTGCATAATCCTGTATGTGGACGATCTACTATTACTGGGCCACACACAGAGGATCATCCTGTGACACCGTCGTCTGATAGTACACCTCTTCGGTATTCTAAGACTGGAGCTCGCAGACGGGAAGGGATACTGGGTAAAACCAGTACGCAAGCTTCAGCACCTAGGCGTAGTCATCGACTTACGTAACAACAAGATCAGGATGACAGACGAGTTCAAGAAAAATAAATACTCCGACTCGGAGCAATGATCAGGAAGGTTGGACTCGGCAAACATCGAAAAATTCCAACAAAATCTTGGCAATCATACTTAGACTCCCTGCAATGGGGGGCTTTTACAATACTCAGCCTTCTAT